TGGGACGTGTGGCAGAGGAGCTGGGAAACCAGCAAAGGAATGGTCTTTGACCTTCTGAAGAACATGGAAGGCTAGTTTTGGCCCCAGGTGGGGGGATTTTGTCCATGGGCCAGAGCAGCTACACCTCAACTTAGGAAAATGATGTTCAAGCTTGCTATACAAGGTGTTTATATAACTGGAGATAAATATTGGACAAGAATCTTAGCTAGTGGTATGTACATAACTTCAGTGACTCATTCAACTACAGTTCAAATTCATTTACCCGCATAGCCCAAGAAGCATCACAAGCCTCTGAATAATTATTCATCATCATAAAGAGAGATGCATTTACCTGAAGTCGCATTGCTACAGGGCTACACAGAAAACACATACAGAAATATGTCAGGGGATAAATGAAACAGAGTAGCATAGATAAAATAGATAGAAATGCTAGAGGGTTTACTCCCCTATTTAGTGCTTGGAGCCACTGCAAGAGGGTTCTGTGATGCTACTCATGGTACTTATTATAACCATTAAACACAGCATAAGGAATTCCTTCAGGGTTTTCTAAAGGACCTTTTGAAATTTTCTATATGTCATCTTGAAGAGGATATTGCCAAGAGGATGTCAATAGGGAAGGTCAGTTATTTGCATCCAAGGTTCTGTCTATAAAAAGCCACTGAAGACAATATTACTAAGTACATAAGAAGAGGGTCACACTTTTCTGCCTTGATAGGCCATGCTATGGGTGTGGGCTAGATCCCGGAGTTCTTGTTGAAAGACCTACAAGTGGTCCTTTAGCTCCCGTTACCCACCTAGGAAGGCTGGAGGGTGTGCATAAGAACACAGCAAGAGCTCTGCTTCAGACCAGCTTCCATCTAAGCCAGTGTCCTGTTTCTAACAGTGGCCAACTTACAAATCGTGGGGAGCCTACAAACTGGGTGAAAGCAACAGTCCTTCCCTATTGTTTGTCAGCTGCCCATCTGGCATTCGGGAGGTATATTGTCTCTAAATGCAAACATTCTTTTCAGTTAGCAAGGCTTCATAAATATTGATAGCCTTATTTCCATGTACGCTGAATTTTTAAACGCCATTTAAGTGACAGTGGCTTCCTTAAAATAACAGTATTTTGTATGTAGAAGCTCTTCTGCTTTTACCTGCCCTGAGTCTGCTTCTGGTCCATTTCATCAGGTGTCCCTGATGTCCTAAGGGACACTGGAGAAAGAGCTGCACAGTCATGGGCAGGGGAAGAAGTCAGTGGGGTCTGGGGTGGTTTCAAAGCTACCTCTGCTGTGCAGCCTGCCAGCTTTGGGTGCCAGGCTAAACAAGCAAATCACACAGTGCATAACTGGTGTGACAGTTATGGCTCCTTTCTCCCTGTAATCACATGAACCCAGGCAACATCTCTATCACCACTTCTGGTGAGGCATGGCAGCTTATAATAGTGTGAGGAGATTCTTGCAGCTGATTATCCCAAGATTCTCCTGGAAGAAAAGGCATTAAAGGGATCCACCCATCCTTGCTTTCTAAATGTGGAGTCATCCTTCCATCCTTGTCAGTTCCACTTGTTTTGCAAGGCTTTGTGAACACTAAACCACAAAAGACAGACCGGGCTTCTTCAGGAACTGAAGGGCAGGCATACATAATTTTCTACTGCAAGGCAGGTTTGAAAAGTGAGCAGAGAATCTGGAGACAACTATTAATTGGAAGCCTTTGTTACCTTTTGTTGCTCTCAACACTCAGGCTCTGGTGGGAGATATGCAGAGACATTTTCCCAGGAAAGCCTGCGAATTTCATTTTGGGGCCACATTCCTAATGCTTGCCAGTGCTGATTTCTCTGTTTCTTCTTCCAGTACAAATCTCCCCTAAGCCACTGACTTAAACTATATGTATATATATTTGGCTCCCTAATCTGCTCCTTGAGGTAAGCAAATAAACAGCTAAAATTGTCATTTTGATGATTCATTCTGAGCAAAGTTTGTAAAGCTGGAGGTTGAGATTGGCTGCACAGTTCCCCCACATTTTAGCACCTGGATTTATTTTTCTTCCAGATAGGCATAAGGTGATTTCACGACTGTTGTTGTGAGCAATCCTGTCCGAAGTGCTGAGTCATGATCATGAAGTTTCTGCAGACTGATCCACTCCAGGCTACCCAGCCAGGAACCCTTGGGCCCATAGCCATCACCAGTCAGCTGAGGTAGCCTATTCTGTGATGTATGCACCAGTGTGAAATGAAGCAGCCCCATCTCTTTCCGCCACAAGCAATATCTTCTCTGTCTCAAATATGTGGGAGAAGCTGCCTCAGGGGAAGAGCCTACAGCCACTCAGTCATAGAAGAATTTTGCTCTCTTCGCTTTTCCTAGGCTTGTCATGTTTTCAGACCCTTGGGGAAGATACATCATTGTCTTCCAATCATGCAAGTAAGTTTGTTCAGATTCAAAATTAACAGTGAGAGTTCCCATAATGAGACGAATATCCAGGCAGCTGGGACACTCCAGCGGCATGGATTAGCTCATGGGTGGGGGACCTGGTGCCCTCCACTTGTTTTGGAACACATTTCCCATAACCCCGATCATTAGCCAAACTGGCTGCTTCTTATGGAAATTGTAGTCTGACACATCCGCAGGGCACTTGCACCTAGTTTAACTTGCAAGAGAGATGACGAAGAATGGACTACCGAATTAAGGCATCATAGCCAAGATCCCTGATGGAATGACCTTTGCAATTCCTCTTTCTCTCCACTTCATAATGCTGAGCAGAATCCAGGCTGCAAGCTTAAGAAACTGATCCAGCACTTATTAAAACAACAAGAACATAACATTAACAAGATCTCCCACCTCTGCTTTACAATAAGAAAAATAAAAACTCTTAATGAATATAGGCAAGGGTCACCTAGTCCACTGATAATCTCAGAACAAATATATCACCTGTAATGTTTTCTTAATCCTTCCTACAGCACACAATGCTAGCAGCCATAAATAGATTTTTTTCTCCCAAGCAGCCTTGTGAGACTTTAGTCAATAAACCAAGAAAACACAATGCATTCAGAGAACAAGGCTGTTGCGTGAGAAAAATCTTATTTTATGCAATCAGTTCCAGAATGGAACTCTGGATGTGTGTTACATGTCTGTTGTTTGGTCTTTGAAATTTGACACAGAAAGCTATGATGGGAGAAATTTGAAAATATGGGGAGGAAAAACCAGAAACTGGGCCCAGGCAGAGTGGTTTAGATGGGTGATGGAAAAGAAGAGAAAGTTCAATAAGTATGGAGAGCAAAAGAGAACACAGCATGATGATAAAGCCAAGCGTTTGACTTTCCTTCGGACTGCTTCCAGGTGCAGCTCTCAGGACACCATTGCCCTGCTCTGAATTGAATGGGGGCTCCAGGCCATGCAGCCTTCACCTGTAGTCCTCCCAGGCTTCCCCATCACTTCTTCCATCCCTTTCCTCACTGCAGAAAACCCATTCAAGAGAAAAAGATGGATTTGCCACACGATGCTTTCTTGATTTTTCACACTAGACGTCCTCCATCTGCAAGCACCCTCAACCAGCAGCGCACTTTGCTCCGATGTGCCAATATTAATTTCAGGTCTTCCCTCCCTCTGCTAGGAAGTGCTTGCACCATAATCCTATGAACGTTTACACTGGAGTAAGTCCCAATAAATTTTGTTGTACTTCCTGCATAGCCCAACCGGGTTTATAATCACCAGCTAAGGGCACAATCCTATGCATATGTTGATAGGAGAAGATCCTTCATGTTTCCCTGTCAAAATATGCATAGAATTGCACCTTAAATGAAGTTCAACACCACTGCTTTCTCACCCTAATTTTCTTCCTACTCCCTGTACCTGTCCCAGAAAAAGGCATGATGGTTGGCATAGAAGGGACAAAAGCCCAGATGGCCAGTACCCTTTGACAGCAACAAAACCAAGCCAGGTTGCTTTTCCATCCGAGGCAGAAAATACCCCGAGCATCTCTCTCCTTCCCTGGCAATGACAACCAATTCAATAACCAATGATTTGCTCCCCTTTCAAGGCCCCCAGGCTAGGTTGTCCAAGGCAGCCTCCTCACATTCCTTAATGGTAGGACTAGACCCAGGAGAAAGTGTCACACTGGATAACACATCTTCTTTGCAAGCCATTCCATCAGCCCTCCAGTAGCTTCACACAATAATGAACCTCTCCTGCTCTCTTTTAATGTCTGCTTGGAAGGTTTAGTGCACAAGATGCATTGCTTGCTTCTCACTGACTCACCCTTTGGTGTACCGTTGGGTGCCTTACTTAGAATCTGATCAATTATACATAGGCAGCATAGGCCTCAACTTGGAGTAGCCCCTAGCCAGTGCTTCAGGCTTGGCATCCTAGGAATGTAGGGAGCCCAGTAGCCTCTTTCTATTGTTCGCTATGTGAAGAAGCTCTTTTGTCTGTCCTAAATCTCCGGCCACCCTGCCTCATGAGACAATCCTGGGTTCCGGAAGTGTGAGAGAGGAAAAGTTTTATCCACTTTGTCCACCTCACGCATGATTTTATGCATCTCTAACTTACATGTTCTAAGCTTTCCTCCTGGGAGACTCACTCCAGCCCAATCATTTTGGTTATTGTAATCTGTGAAGGCTATTAAAATAAACGGATAATTCAGAGAGTCTTTTGGCTATTGGGCAGTATAGAAATGAAATGAAATGAACAAACTTAGGAGCCTGGATAGCAATATGAAGGCCTAAGGGGAAAATCTCCCCCCTCCAAAAAAAAAAAAAAAAGGAACTCACATCTCATTTTTCCTCCCTTTTTCCAAATTGCTCTGAAAATTGGAATAGAGACAGATTTCCTCCCCCAATATTTTTCATGCCCCACCTGGTTTTGAATTCACACCCACATATATACATTCAGATTCTCACACTCCACAACTAGGAATTCTGACTGGAGGAGGAGAACTTCTGGAAAAAGAAAACTTACAACAGAAGAACTGGTTGGGAAGAAGGAAAGGGATTGAAATACTCCTTCTGTAAGATGGAAGATACTTACCTGAGAAGAACTGGCTGATAGAGCGAGGCAGAAGGGTAAGGAAAGCCAGTGGATTAGCAAAGGAGGTGGAGAGCACAGCAGAAATATAAGCCACCCCAGTGACCAGGGAATCCAGGCAAGCCAAGGAGGTGTATAGACAGAACATAATGAAGTTCCGCATGTTCCTGTTCCCTATACAGTTCCCTGTGAAGAAACAGTGGTGGTCATGCCTTTGGGTGACCCTGGCACACAGTCTACAGAAGTGGGTGCCTGGCACGGCTGAGTCTAGGGAGGAATGGCTTCCATCCAACCAGTCAGCTCCTCTGGCCAGGTCCACGCTTTTGCCCAAGTCCTCTGGGGAGTTCTGAATCACCAGGATGTAGTTGCCCAGTGCATTGGCTGAGAGGAAGAGGAAGAGGACCCCATGCAGCAGGGCAGACGAGAAAAGTGGGGTGGCACCGGAAGGGTCTTGGAGCATGCTAGGGATGAAGAGGAAGAGCTGGAGGGCGAAGGTCACCAAAGAGATGCACAGGAAGTAGGCAGGAGCAACCACATTGAGAAACCTGAGAACTAGCATGGTGCAGGTGGCATTCCTGCAGGACAGACAGAGAAAAGAGAGCAAGCATCACCATCCCCCTGCACACCAGGGGTCGTCACTTCCCTCTCCCCCCTGCTGCTGGAAAGTACCCTCCCCACCACAGCTCCTGGCCCTCCCGCACCTTTCATCCAGCCAGCTCCTTTGGCGCCACTGTCCCACTGCAGTCCTCACCATCCCCACCCTTCACTCCCTAGCTCGGCCATTTATTTATTTATCTAGAGTATTTGTATGCCGTCCTTTCACATAGCCTCAGGACGGCTTACATAAATGTCCAGGGAGATAAACTCCTAGGGGAAGGCTTGGTCCTCACCCCTTAGATGAAGTTGCTATCGGAGCTTGAGGTCTACCTCCAGGGACCAAGTGGGCAGCTCTGCCACCAAGATGCCCAGGGCTGCAGTCTCTGGAGCATCTCCCTGTCAGCTTCCTTGCCTGCCTGCCTGCCTGCCTGCCTGCCGGCTGCATCACAACCAAGCTCACTCTACTGCCTCCCTGCAACCTCCTTGGTCTCCAAGGCTGCAATCCTATATACACTTGCCTGGGAATCAGCACTGTTGAACTCAGTAGGGCTGACTTCTGAGTAGGGCTGCACTGTGATTCAAGAGTTCCTCTTGCAGGCAGGTGACATGTTGTTGTTGATTATGTATAATTATGGGGGGCAGGGGAGGATCTGTTCTAATCCTCTGCAATATGGATCAAAACCCCCAATGCTCTAATTTAGCCTCCTAAGCCACAAATCTGCAGATTACCTCACTGACTGTTGTCCCTGACAGCCACATCATTAGGAAAGACCGAGAGAGCAGCTGCTTAAGTGCTGCCCACCCTCCAACCGTGTGCCAAGAAGGAACTCCGTAAACAGAACCCCTCCAAGGTGTCTGGCTGGCATGGCTGTGCAGCCGATTCACAGCACAGCAGCCGATTCAAGCACACACACACACACACACACACTCACTCCCACACCCACCCGCACCCGTCGCCGGGGGCCTCCGACACCCAAACATGGAGGTGTTCCTACAAGTCTTTCCGCCCACCCCCCACTTCCTTCCCACCCGCCTGCCTCACAATAGCGTCTCTCCAAAACAAATCTATGTACGACACGCGCTTACAAGGTAGAGGTTTCTTTTTTCAGAAAAATAAACTGCTGTTCCCCAGCAGTGGCAGCCTCAGCTTCTCCCCTGCCCAGCCACTCTCCTTAGTCTGACTCTCCTTAGTCAGACGCAAACTTAGGAGTCTGCATTTGTCATCGGAGGATTATTAGCTCTTGACCCTCCCGTGATCCGATAGCCGCTGGGAACTTTTGCGGGCCACACTTCGGTCCCTCCCTCTAGGGGGCTTCGGCAGGGACCTGCGATGATCAGGCGCCAGTTCCCAACTCAGCTCTGTCTCGCTGCCTGTCTGCAAGGTCCATTCAGTCCTAACCTTGAAGTCCCCTTGCTGGCTGCCTTGATGGATCACCGGGCGCGCACCCCGCTCCGCCGTATGTACCTGGATGCCGGAGAGGATCAGGAGCTGCTGTTCTTCCAGCACCGGCCAGCGCTGTGAGTCGCCGAGCTCCAGCCCAGCAGCTGCCTCACCCCCCGCCCTTCAGCAGCGGCAGCATGAGCAGCGGAGGGAACGACTGAGAGCTCCGTTAGCAGTCGCGCCAGGGCTCGGTGGGGAGCCCTCCCTCCCGTGGCCCCAGCGCAGGATACGCCTTCGCTTGCACAGGGGAGCTGTCCGCCCCTTCAGCGCCCCGGATGGGGAGTCGCTCGCGGGAGCTCCGCGGGGAGCTGTCCCTTCAGCACCACCCAGAAGCAGCCGTCGCCGGCAGCAGCGGGGGAGGCAGCGGCGGTCGGTGGAAATCCCTCGGCGGTGCACTTCTTACCTGCTGGAATCCCTCTCCAGACAGCCGCCGCCTGCAGCTGTCCTGCTCAGTCTGGTCTGCAAACTCAAGAAGGTCATGGGATCCTCCGAGCAGAGGAGGACAACACTGGGCTCATTCACCTGGAGAGCAAGGATTCTCTCCTGCTCGCTCGCTCGCTCTCTCGCTCTCTCTCTCTCTCTCTCTCTCTCTCTCTCTCTCTCTCTCTCTCTCCCTCTCTCTCTCTCTCTCTCTCTCTCTTTCTCCTGTTATGTCCTAAGGTAGAAGTGAGGAACGTGTGTCCGGCCAGCCACATCCTGGATGTTGACTGCAACTCCCAGAATCCCTCGCTATTAACTATGCTGGCTAAGGCGGATGGGATGTGCAGTCCAGTAACATCCGGAGGGTCACACTGTGCTGGCAATAGCCCTCTCCCACTTTTGTCCCCACTCACCCCAGCAAATGGTCTGTCATGCCATACAGCCTCTGGACATAGCTAGCTAGTCTGGCTAATTGTTGCGCTTCCCCACAGATATGGGAAAGTAGACATACCTTTCTGCTTCTGCCCACCTCACCCCTGCCCCCCACAAAACTCAGGATCAGCTGGCCTCTTCAGTCACAAACATTAGTACAAATCTTTCTTTTTTTCCCTGTGGGGAGAGGCTGCAACAGCTGGGATTGTCTAGCTTAGGAAAAGGTGAGCGAGCAGGCACCTGGCACAGGTGTACACAATTATGCAGCATGTGGAGAAAGTGGATGGGGCTTTCCATCTCTCAAAATACTAGAACCCAATGGGGTCATCCCATGAAGCTGATTGGTGGACGATTTGGGACAAATAAAAAGAAGCACTTCAGACAGCAGATAGTTAAACTATAGAATTCACTTTTACAAGCTTGTAGTGCTGGCTACCAATCTCGATGGCTTTGGAAGGAGACTGGGCAAAATTCTGAAGGAAACATCTATCAGTGGCTACTAGTCCCAATGGCTATATGCTACCTCCAGTAGCAGCAGAAGTGTACAAATGTACAGCAGTTTCTGGGGAACATGGGCAGGAGGGTGCTGTTGCACTCACCTCCTACTTGTGGGTTTCCCATAGGCAGATGTTAGTAACTGTGTGAACAAATTGCTAGATGAACCTTGGTCTTGTGCAGCATGGCTCTCCTTATGTTACATTAGAAACATTGATGTGCTGGGTTGTAGGCAGCTGTACAGTCAGGAACTTAATAATGTGCATACCTTTGCCCAGGCAAAGGCCAGGGGATCCTTATAGAAGGTTTGTGGAATCTCAGATCCACAATCCAAATCCCGCCTGCCTGGAGTCCAGATCTGGAATTTCCTGTGTGTCTTCTCTTGATGTCACTTGCTTTACCCCAACCGTCAGTCATTTCCTGGCTTTTCTGCATGTGTTTCGCTCCATTCTCAAAAGCTGAAATGTAACTCCTAAGGTTTGAGTTATTGGTCGCAAGGGCTGACAGCTTAAATATGCCAGTATTGGGGGTCTTTTTGTAGTATGGTCCCATGCCCTTTGCATTTGGCCATGGCCAGAGCCCAAAAGTTTCCCTAAAATTGAATTTGATGTTTGGACTGAAACATCAGGTTTGCTGCAACTTTCTAGCCTTTCCGGGTTATGGCGAGCCAGTGAGCAGCCTTTGAGGGCATACAAAATAAGCCATAAGAGCCATGCGGGATCAGACCAACAGTCCATCTAGTCCAGCACTCTGTTCATACAGTGACCAACCTAAAGGAAATGCACAAGCAGGACAGGAGTGCAACAGTACCTTCTTGTCTGCATTCTCCAGCAACTGTTGAATATAAGCATGCTGCCTCTGCTGCCAGTTAGCATACAGCCATCAGGACCAGTAAGCAGAACAGGCTCACCCTGGAACTTTGCCGCTCTTAACTGTCCTGGGAACAGCTCTGCTCACAGCCTAGATGGAACAAGGAACAGATCAAGACCACAAGGTTCTTTCTAGGCGTCCTGCAGCAGCAGGGGGTTGGACTTGATGGCCTTCATGGCCCCTTCCAGCTCTATTAGTCTATGATTCTATGTTTCTGTGGGTTCCTGGTTCTAGTCCCCACTACTCCCAAGAAGCATCTTTTGAAGCTGTGCTGATCAAGTGATTAATAAGCACATGCGGACTCCCCCGTAATGCATAGAATGGAAATGATTCTGAGCAAGTGATGTTACTTAATACTGAATCAGATTAGTGTTCCACCTAGGCCCATATTTATTCTGACTGGCAATAGCTCCTCTGGTCCCCATGCAGGGACCTCTGCCATCACCTGCTATGACATCTGTTTGGACAGCAGTGTCAGAGATGTGTGCATATCATTTTACTTTCATTATGCTGAAATCTGCACTGAATACTTAGGAACACGGAGCAATTTCAAAAGGCTAGCTCAGTCAATAAAAGGTCAATATGTTCCAGAGTTTAAACCATGTAAGAATTACCTGTATTGTTGCAGATGAATCAATCAATAACCAATCAGGTATGAATGTAGCCTAAGTGCACTGCAGGTGCCCCCAGTGGGGAAATCACCTCCAACTGGTTGTCCCCTCTCCCCACCCCCCCCTCCTGCCTGAGAGAAAGCTACTCAGGTGCAAGCAGGTGGTGGCAGGTGCTTGATGGCAGTGCCCCATCTGGAGGTAGAACCACTCAGCTGATTCCCTTGCTCCTGCCTGAGATGTTCTTGACGTGGGCTTCCTACCATGAAGGCTTGTGTTGCTTGGGTTCAGACAGCACAGGAAGCAATCATGGTAAGTGACAAACTGTTTTGTATAGTGTTTTCATGTGCTGAAATGCCACAATTGGGTTTGGGCAACATGACAGTCAAACAATAAACCGCACTGTGACTTGTTACATTGTGTAAACCCAGTCCATGACTGAATGTATGCATGAGCACATAAGACAGGGCGCTGCGGTTCTCCAGAGTTGGCCGACAACTCCTCCTTTCCTTTGGGGCAATGGCAGTTTTAGCCCATAAGTTCTGGAGGGTCACAAATTGCCCATTCCTGACACAGCATGCACACAGGCAGAGAGGAGGGGAGAGGAAGAACAAATGAGAGCAGAAAGGGAAAGTGGCGTGGGGAACAAAGCAGCAGGAAGAAACCCCTCTTGGGCTAAAACCTAAAAAGTGATAT